ACACACACACACACACACACACACACGCACACACATCCCATTGACCAGCATATTCCACCACCTAGTATCTGGCAGCCACAGCACGCTCCAGATGTGGAGAGATGGCGACCACAGACAACAACTTGCTCCCTGCAGCCTGCATTTGGGAGGTTTCATTAGCGCGATCAATCTACACACTGACCGAGACTCTTGCCTCCGTCCACTAAGCACACACACTACCACACACTCACACACATTCACTTCTCCAACACTCATCTCTTTTCCTTTTGCAAACTCCCTGGTTGCTTTTCATTTCTGGTACTTTTTCTCATAGTTTTCCCTTCTTTGCACTACTTTTTTTAAGATTTGGTTTAAATGTTAAAAAGCGACTTTTATAAAGGACTTAATTAAAATTTATTAGTTCCATTATTATGGCGGACAAAATATATTTTCAAACATATAACACACAGTGGAACCTTGTATATCTTTTCGATAGTGAACCCTTTACTCCGCATTCTGCATTTGGGGACCAATTAGGGGTTGATCAGCCTGTTCCTGCTTTTCAGCCTCCATTTGTCGCTTGGCTTGCAATTGAGCGACAAATTGTTCAACCTCCGCCATATGATCTTCGGAATCGCTGTGACGTTTATTTGTCAGAGGTGCTAACGGCGGGGTTTTTATCCTTGCGTGAGATATACGTCTATGAAGGAGTGAAATCGATGAAAGTTGCGAGCAAATACTACTAGATACATTTGATAAAACCATGCCTAACCTCATATGCTGACAGCGATTTTGTAGCTTTATAGTGAATACTTTAAGTTCCTATTCAACACTATCCGGTTGGAAGTTTGAAAAATTAACAATATATAAACGTACTTGCCTCAATTTTACAAACAGCAGCGTTGCGATTGTTCTCGTGATTTATTTATAAACATTTTAATGCTGGAACTGGTTTAGTCAGGTAACCTCACTTCAATGAACAGACTTTTCGGAAAGCAATCACATTGAAGCTTTAATTGGTTAACTCCCTCAAAAATCAAATTAATCGACCACTTAATTTCTCTATGCTACTATGTAGCTAGTCTTTATCATATAACAATTTTATTTGTACATTTAAAAAATGCGCAATAGCATTTGAGAATTTGACAATTTAAGAGAGCCAATAGCAAGCAAATATCCCCGAAAAAGAGTATTAATAACAGGCCAAGCGTTTATCAGATATAGTGGAAGGTTTACAGATTTCCTCCTTACAGCACATTTTACAAATCACATGTTGTTTAGGTGTACAAAAGCATACAAATAACAAGGTCATTCATACCCCCTCCTGACATGCTTCTTTTTAAGATGTCTAATAGGCGGCAATAGTTAGTAAACATAAATTTAAAAACCTGAAATAACCAAGAGTAAGAAGTAATAAGACGAGAGTACTTACTTTCTAGGGTATGGAGAAGGAGAGCGTGATGGTGAGCGAGAATAAGATCCAGAACGTGATCTTGATGGAGGTGAACGACTATCCCTGGTTCGACGAGACCGTTTAGCGACCGGTGACTTTGACCGAGATCGTGTGTTGGAGCCTGAGCGATCATAACGGCGACGTCGACGGGGTTCGTCTGGTCCACCATCGCCACCGCCTCCGGCACTACGTCTGTCACCGCCATATCTATCGCTAATGGAATAGCGTGCGAAATTAGTACAAAAGGATAAAATGTTAAAATAAGTTTATTAAAGACACGATATGAAACGCATTGCTACAGTAGAATCTTGGAAAATGTTAACTTTAATACCTCATAACAAGCAAAGTTTATCTATCCCCCTTATTTAGTTTGCAAATGAAAGATAAAACACTTAATTGTATACAAAATGATAGAACTTTATGGAAACTTAACACTGCATTTATTTACATTTATTTTACATGCCTCGATGATGAAAAAAACAACTTTACCAGTTATGGATTGGAATATTTCTTGAAGGTTTTAGGGCAAATGATTGAAGTGATAGAGGATATGTGGGCTGTTGTAAAACCGTATCCCGAAGGAATTTTTTAAAACAGCCGAAGGTTCATTTTGGCCTAATGAAAATCACCTCAACGGTGAATGGACTTAGGCCGCCCAGATTAATGTTCCATTTAAAACTATACATAGACACATTGCGATGCGACTGATGAAATTAAATTTTAGGCATCAGCATTAATGAACACATGCATTCAACGTCAAGTTAGGCTTTATTTAGTCGACAGCTTGGAAAACAATAGTGAATGTGATAAGGACGGGGAGAACAAAGAACACTTCAATGACGATTCCAGTGAAGTAATGACCCCCAAATTGAATTTATAACGTACTTATAGATCAGACACCAAACGATAACTGAAACGAGAGTACGTCTGCATTTACGCCAATACGATTCGACAAGCGTTATAAACAACGCGCATCTTTGCCCATGGCGTCAAAAAGTTTACCGAATATCAAAACTAGGTAGATGTCTAAGTGAAGACGCAGAATGCACACTGAGTAGAAGTGCTGATGAAAGTCTAATCTAGAAAGCAAATAGAGCGACCAGTGCTCATGTAAACTTTATTTAGACCGATTTTGGCACCAACTGTGAAAGTGATCGTTGGTTCGATTGCAGTCATGCAATTTTTCAGCCATAAACAGTTAACATGCACAATCCTAAATGTCGCCAAGTACAAAGAGCCTAAAGCGGTGAGTGAGTTTTAGGATTTTACTGAAAGGTAAGTTTGAACATCGAGATGCTTACGTGCCGTAAGTGTTGAACTCGACTGTAGGCGACAAAAATAACACAACAACGAGACAATATGTACTAGATTCGGATACTACATAGAGTCGACACTGTTTCAATCCATAACAACTAGATTCAATCATCGTATCATTAAAAAATAGGCTAAATCCACATGAAGTTATTGGAGAAACAAACCCTCTACAGTACTAGATTACATTTATAAAATTAGATCCTATTGGTACGTACGAGAGCTAAAGCGATAGACATAGGATTGGGGAAGATGATTGACAGATCGAATGAACAATATTCAAATTTTTTTAAATACGTTTGATGAGATTAAAACTAACCGATTTCCTTGCCAACCGCCACGTCTGCTACCTCTCCAATCACCACCGTTATCATCTCCCCGCCACGAGCCTCTCCAACTTCCACGACCACCTCGTGGACCACCAGGACGACCACGTCCACCTCTGTCTCCTCGAAAACCTCCCCTTCCACGCCATCCATCTCCATCACCACCCGACTCGGAGCGATGACGCCGTTCAATGTCTTTGAGACGCTGTTGAACACGATCCTGCAACGTCTTGGAAGTGAGAGGTAGATCGCTCTTATTTACGTACTTTGTGAGGACTCCATTTTCAACTTCAACTGCGTCTTTGGGAGGCGTGTAGACGCGTCTGTCATACTGGAATTCAGATTGAGGCAAGTTGCGATCATCTTGACGATCTTGACCTATCGAAAGGAAGCCAAAATTCTTACATAATTACGGAAGTTAGAGCGTCTTATCGTACCACTTTATAAAGAATTACAGAATGCATGCAATACGGGTTTTTAGCACTTTTTAAAGATTTCGCTATTTTGTCCGCATAGAGTATTCAAGTGGTCCAAAACTCATCCATCGAGTAAATGAAGTATTCATGTACTTTAAACAAAGACTTTAAGCAAACCGACAATATTACTAATAAAAAATGAAGGACTTCATCTTGAACTAAATAACTGTTTATGGACTCGCGTTAACTAAGACTATACTATTAGCGACCATTACGTGGCAAGCAGGACCCCGGTATCTGGTCACATGGCCAATTTCCAACTATAAAAGATCGTTCCGTTGATAAAAGTGAGTAGTAGTAATTGATAGAATAAAATAGAGCACAATTCCATAGGTGAAGTGTTCATTAGGCCTTTCGTAAAAAAAAGTCCAATCAGTTACAAAATCTACTTAAATAAGCTGGAAGTTTAAAAATGGCCGCAGAAGCCTCCACTGAATGCAGTAAAAAACATTAAAACTACTTCAAAAATAAATTACTTGGAGAGGAAGGACGTTCTTCTTGATTCCTCAAGTCGTCACGTCTACAACGAGAAAATTAGAAGACAAGGTAAGAGTAATTTGAAATATGAAAGAGTTTGGAAAAAGTGGTAATATATATTACCTTCTAGAATCACGCTCATCTCTGAACTCGCGTTCATTATCATACCTTCGTCGATCATCACGCCAATCTCTTTCACGATTGCCATTAAATCTATCGAAGTTGGAAAATTCATTCCATAATAATTTATTCAGTTACAACCAAATAAATAAAATGAGGTCAATGTATTTTGAGGTTATCTGAGTGGGTTTGTGTGATTACAGCAAAAATTTAAGTTAGCTGAAAACCCTGCAATAAGCATTACAAATTTAACCAAATATAAAAAAACCAAAGCCCGCTTATAACAACAGATGCATTCCTGTGTAAATAAGCAAACATTGCATTTATTGAACCGGTGCAAAGAGATTCGCACAATCCTACCCTCTTCATTCGGATTTATAGAAAACCTTAAACGGTTAAATCATAATGAGCGCAACAATTCTTGGATATATTTTGAAATTCAAAGCAATCGAAGAATCATCATAAATTAATGTCAACTGCTAGGGAGCGGTTATACAAAAAAACAGATCTATCGGGTGTGATGGAGTCCTTGTTGCAAATTAAACTTCTTCATGTTTCCTTAAAATATTGATGAGTTGAAGCACATTTATTTTTTGTAAACATCATTTATGACTGCATGATGTAATGTTGAATATTAGGTGAAAAGTACTTCATTGCATATCCTCCATTTATTGATAAATGCACTAAAAGCAGATCTATTTAAATATTCTACCAATACAATCGATAAAAGCAAAATATAATCAAATTGGATGAGAACAAGACAAACAAACCTGCGATACTCACGATCACCACCTCCAGATCCACCACGGCCTCGACCTCTTGATTGGGGTATATCGCGTTCAGAACGGTCACGATCTCCACCACGATCGCTATCCTCCCGCCAACGATTCTCGTCTTCACAACGAATCACACGACCAGACTAAAAAGAAACAGAAAATGCGAGCTGTCGATAAGTACCAGAAACAAGAAGTCGAGATCATCTAGGGACAACAACCGATCAAACTAGTTTAATTTCAGGAACATCAAGTACGGTGGAGCAAACAATAGCAATTCCTTTTACTGAAAACTGGTCTAAATGTGAGAATGATAAACGTTGATTTAAAGTTCATCTACGGCAACAGCTTCCAACAACATTGATGTAAGTACTCAGTATATGCGTTACCATGCTAAATTCAGTGACTATGGATATCAATAACGCCAGTAGTTGTGCATCTTTTATTCATTTATATCAGTAGGCGCCACAATATCTACTTAAATCAGTCCATATTTTGACATGCGATGATTTACTTCTCTTAAAAAACTCTCACCATTGTTAAACAAATTACGCCTTTCTACCATTTCTACAATAAATGGAGATTAGATAAGTCCAGTTACGCATATATTACTTCTGTGTTAATCACCAGAACTTAAAACTGCTCTAAGGCAAACTCAAAATCGGTACCTTTCAAGTGAACAAACTTATTTAGCAGGCAAATTCCTACCTACACTCACAAACTGTTGGATTCATCCTAGCTACTCAACCATTGTAGGAAAAATCATAAATGGCTACACATTTACTAAGGGAGAATATAATCTATAAATCACATAAAACTACAATAAAATACCAATAAGACTACAAGGTTATGGCTGGAGAGTTATTAAAAAATGAAACAAGGGGCAACGTACACGATCACGAGTAATGACGATTTTGGCCAAATTACCCTTCTCCATGGAATCATTCCCGACCTTATCTAAATGCCTATTATCATCACGATGACGATCGTCACAATAGCGATTTCGCGCTAAAAAAGAAATAGAGGAGTTATCAAAAACCGTTCAAGGAGATAAGAAAATGATTTAATAGAGAGAGCGATAAAGTGCTATTCCATCAATCTAAAGTAAATCTAATGAGGATCAGATGTGGATAGATGGAGTAGTTAATATTGGAGGTATTTGAATGCGCGATCGAATCAACATTTGACCGTGTCTCACTCCTCCATATTTGGTGCATTAGTTCCACAATCACTAAAGTTATTCAATTTAAAGGACATTTAGCTCACAGAACTGTTTAAAATTTAAAATGTAGAAATGTTTGCTTAATTAAACGAGTAATGCATATGATTCTAAAACTCCAAATGATTGAAGAGTAAGAAACATGCATTATGCAATATAGAACTGCATGGAGTGAAAAGCAACAAATGGAACTAACTCATGTTTCTGAACAGCAATAATCGATTGATTGCGATATCAGAAAGTCCACAACCCGCAAAAGCCTCAACGCTCAAAGGGTACATAACCTTCAACTCTTAATCTAGGAGGATTCATTAGCGCGATACAGCACAATACTGGTCGAGACTCTTGCCTCCAAATAAAAATCAATTTTAATTATTAACCACGCGTGACAGTTCAAGGCAGACGAACTTACAAGGTGGTGATTGAAACTCATCCCCAGATTCACCACCTTTGCGTTGCTGTTGTCCACGTTTCGAACGATCTTCGTTAACGAGTTGCTCAAGAACAGCACGAGATCTGTCGATACTTGAATTCGGCTCACCACCTCGTTTTACGCTGCCAGATGGGGACCCCGGAGACCTGTCGTCATGACGTCGATGGGCCATTTCCATAGATGCATTACCCCTCCTCGACTGCGGTGAGCGAGACCAAGAACGCTGAATAACAAACAACAGATTTAACGCATGATTCAAAAAATAACCAGGGAAAATTTTAATAAAAACGTACCAATTTGGCGTCGTAATTGTGATGAGAACTAGGTGCTCCATTTAGAAGTTGTCTAAGAGCTTCTCGAGCCTCGAGGTTAGTTGGATCCAACTCTAGAGCTCTTTGAAGCATTGCTTCAGCTCTGGTAGGGTCAGTTGAAGTTATTCTAATAGATTTAAAATTAAAAGAGTAAGAACATTCAAAATTATTTTATAGAAATAAATGATCAGCATCGTGTTTCGGCATGTTTTGCGAAATAGCGCCTAAAAAGGTACAAAGATTCACTTAAACACCGCTGAAAAAATATCATAATTTTAGACAAAAGTGATCTAGTTGTTTTCAGGGGATCCACAAATTAATTACCCCTAGACATGACTAAGACAAATAGTAGCGCGAAGTTTTTAATAGTATTTCGAATGAATAATAGGTTCTCTTGATTGCGATAGAAAAGTGAAATGTAATTTTCCTATATTTTCGTTTCTCCTATGAAACTTCAAATTTTGAAAAGTGAATAAAATGATTGCTTCTCGTCACTTTCTAAGCCAGAACTAAGAAGCGCAATTAGTCAATGAAACAGAAAGTAACAAAAGCTTAAAGCAAGCGTAAGATATTGAGGGAATATTTAGACGTTTTCTCCAATTTGAGAAATCAACCAATCACCTATCGGGTTTAATCACCAGAAACCTATTAAAATGAAGATATTTATAAAAACAAGCCTAAGCAAATAACCACAAACCATCATCGTAAATAATTATCAGTCAATCAGGAGCTATTAGGAAATCGCATGTATGCAACAAAGTTTATGACGACTAGCGATTTTTCGAAGGCTATAAATCCAACTAAATTCATCCCAAATCCCCTTAACAAAAGCTAAGAGAGCGAAAAGTCATATCTAAGAGAAACAGTCAGCTATGACTCCAGGTGTACATCTAATACAATGTATGATGAATAAGTGATTAAAATAAAGAACATACTCAATGGTATAAGCCAACAATGTCTGGCCAAGATAATTCTTCGCGTTGGCATGATTTGGTTGCAGTGAGAGACTCTTTTCCAAGTCATCGATTGCCTTTGCATAACTCCCAATCGAAGCGTACCTGAATACATAATTAATTAAGGAGTGACGAATGATAAAGGAAACTTACAAAGCCCCACGAGCCACATAGGCATCAGCATTGGTAGATTCAACCTCTATGGCGAAGTTGTAGCATTGCAGTGCCTCGGTGTTGCGATTATCTTTAAAGTACTTGACTCCCTGTGCAACATGCCTCATAGACATGTTATAGAGTTGGACACGTCGTAATTCACAAGCCATCTCTTGTTTGGGAAGACTAATCCTACAAAACGGAAAAGGCCCGTAAATCATCGGAATCATATCAAAAAATTGATTCAATAGACTATCAAATGTTTGATTAATTAGCATAACGCAAAGCAATTCAATTTTTCTAAATTAATTAATTATCCCAAAGTTTATTCCCAGCCCATAACATATGCTTGATGTCCTTGAATTAAGTAATAATGGAATAGGTCGACTTACTTTGCGTTCGAGAAAAGTAAACTGCAAGCAGATGATCTAGGAATGTCGAATCTTGCACAAAGAACTCTCAGACCATCAGGATTTTTAAACTGTGGATTGCCAAGCAAACAAGTCTCAAATGACTTGCCGTCAAGATTCTGCAGCTTTCTGTAGTGAAGAGGCAAGTCATCATCTGAAATAATACCCTAGAAAAGATAAAATAGAAAAAAGAATGAATTCGGTTCTTATGAGCATGGAGGGAGGTTAAATAAATGAATTTACCAGTTGAATGTTACCATAGAGATTAATGTTGAGCGCCTTATCATTCATACTTAGAATCAGTCGACCGGAATGATGGACGTCAAGAATAAAGGCTTTATAAGAAGAATTATTATAATGACTCATTTTTTTAAAAAAGATCGTATGAGAATAAAACATACCTCTGACTTTATCGCCAATTTGAAAGGCATCAAGGGGATTCCCATGTGTTGCAAACTTTGGTAGTTGACGAATTGGGCAAAAACCCTGTAATGATAAAAAAATACCAACCATTAAATCGATAATTTATAACACAAAAACGAGAAAAATGATTTAATAGTACGCAGAAAACAGTGGAGCTGAAAAAGGTTAGTAATGAAAAGCCAAGTGGAGAAACGCATAACATATTTCATAACAAAGATATTTGAAATCACCCAAAAATGTAAAAGAAAAACGCATTGGGGTATATCCAATGACAACATCTACACTTAGAGAGTTCAATGCCAGAAACAAAAATATAAAATTATGAAAAAATGTGGGATAAGTAAACGATATGGTTAAAGTTTATCGTTATTTTAAACTGTGATCTACGCACAAAAACTACTTACAGTAACTCTAAGTCCGTCAAAATCTCTGCGAGGTCCCTGATCATAAGCGAGTATGGTAATGACAAGGCCAGAGTCTTGAATAGCAGTTACTGACCCGATTAGCATGTCGTCTTGTTGGGCCGTCTAGCGAAGTGAGAATCAAGACTTTAGGCCAAGTAATAGAGCTAAATGTGAACAGGTTGTGAATTTAGACTTACCCGATAGAACTGCTCTTTCCTTGTTTCATCAGGCACCACCATAAAGGTTTCAAGAGGTGGAGTTAATGCACAGAATGCCGCAGCGTCCTCATCAGGCCAAACGGGATTATTGGGTTTCGGAACAGGAATAGCGGGAACAGGCTCCTCTCCTAATAGTTCCTCGAGATTGTTTCCTTCAGCAGGAGGTGGTCTATGCATACGACTGATTATTTCCGCTCTCGATGAGAGCAAGTACTCAAATTTGGTACCAAAACTAGCCCTAAAATATGTGAAATAAGAACGACGCACCAAACTTTGCTTTAGAGTCGATTACAGACGTTTTTAACATTTTCCCTTTTTTAACACAATGTCATACATAAATGTGTGCATCCCAGAACATCGAATTTTGTAAAATCACACAAACCCCCTTTCTAGCAGAATGATTGCTTGAGAAGCTCATTTACCTTTTGCCATGGGACGGAACATTACGCCCTTGTCACAAAATATGCAAAATAGTTAAGACAAATAAAGTAAGAATTTTTGTCCTTGGAAACCAATGTGTGGTGCATGAATACTACGGCACTTTTTGTGCACATGATCAATGTACATTAAAATAGATATGATTATAGCGCTTTTATCCATTCTCAATCTGTAAACCTAAGAAATTATTAAATTTCTAAACAAATTAAACAAAAGAGAAAAGCAAATTTTTTGAAAACCAGAATAACTCACATCGTCGGCACTTAGAGGATCGAAAGATATATAAGTATGCAAGTTGATTATTAAAACAAAATTTTGTATAAAATGAGATCTATTCTTTGAATGAAAAAATAAAACGCATTAAAGTAATGGAGATTTGATATTTTATTTTATAAACAAAATAAATTATTAACTTCATGTCAAAAATTTGTTTCGCAGATAATTCGCAATTATTCAATCTGAACTAGATATTATTAATTAACTTGAACTTATTATTAAGTAATGATTTGCTTGCGGTTTGAGTAGAGTTTTAAATAATAATTAGTAAAAATGGCAATTAGTAGTTGTTGTTTTTATACGGTTGGCTTAACACCATTATGCTTTTCGTAATAAATTGTAACTACCACAAATAATTTGTTATCTCATTATTTTAAAATGCATGACAATTAATTACCTCTCTCATTTGAATGAAATTGTATCATTTGATTTTACACTGACTCTTCTTTTACTCTAATATTCAATATGTTAAAGGTAATCATTAAGTTGTTCTTAACATTAAAGATATGAAAAAATGTTCAATTAATTAGTAATTTCGGTGTCTTATCTTAACTAAATTAATTGCAGAAAATAAGTCATTGACCCTTTTATAAAAATTTCAAAGAATATGCATTAAAACCCTAAATGAGTTTCTCAATAACTGCATTTTATCATAGGGTGTGTGATTGACTTACCTCCACGTGGTGCACTCTGGGCAACGTACACTCATACGGCAAAAAAAGTCTATTACCTGGCAGTTGACTTCAAACTACCATGATTCCACTGTATCTCATATTCAAATACTTTCACAGTACTCATCCCACCTTTTTTCCACCTTATCTACCTTCGTCTTGGATACACTCTTCTGT